TCAGATTATTTGTGAACTTTAGCTCCAGCCCATGTTTGGGTTTCTCTCTCTCTCTCTCTCTCTCTCAGTAGATATAGATATAGGAGCACTATGAATAATTATTTGTGATTAATTACTTCATAAATGAAGAGATCAAAATGTCCCCAAATGGATGTTCAAAAGTAAAAAGCAATATGAAAATAAGGGGCTGTCTAACCCCTAAAACCAAAAGATATTTCCATCCTCTCCAGTTCTCCATATTGGAGTCACATTTCCTCCTTTGGTTCCTTACTTTTTACATTCTTTCTAGTATTACATCTCTTTTCTCTGTATTTGCTTTACTTCTTGTTCGACTGCATCCTTTCAAACTTTTTAAATGAACATCTGTGGTTGAGAACTCTCTTCATCCTGGTATGTCTGAAAATACTATATTTTACTCTCATTCTGGATAGCTAAACAAATGAGTACATGGTCAAGGTATCAGTGTTTCTATTCAAAGGGTGACTTGTTTACAATTTGGTTCTTGAGCAGGAAGAGAGTTTTGCACCAAAGAAGTTTTGAAATGGTTTTTCCAACATGAGATCCCAGAAGGACAGCAGAGAAGGAGAACTGAGACACAGAGGCTCAGGGGAAAGAGAGCATTTCAGAGGCACAGGCAGCATTTTGGAGGAAGACATGGCTATCTGAATAACCCAGCTAAGAATCCTTACTTAAACTCTAAACTTACGACAAGTACACACAGATGATGATTGTGTCTAGCAGCCATGAAACTAGTGAGGCATGAATGCAAATGTTTTTGTTTTTGTTTTATTTATTCCTTTTTTTTTTTTTTTGCATTATAACCCATGCAAGGTAACACACTGACTTTCAGTTTAAACTAGGTCTCTTCTGATCAATTCAGAATTTCTTCCTTCTTTTCCTCTTCCTTTCTCTCCTGGGATAATATTCTGGTGTCAGGAGAAAGACATCCATGGATGAAGCCTCCACAGCGGTAGCTTCTGCCAAGATGTACAATCATTGCTGGCCTTTGGGCATCAGTACTCAGCCCTGCTTTGCCCACACTGAAATAGCCATGTCCCACTCTCCTTTCTGGTAACCAGGTCTACATAGATCACATGGATTCTTTGTTTTCTCAGTGGCCAAAGACTATCTGCCTGGGTCAGGTCTGGTCTTCACCACTTCTCAGGGATATGGGACACTGCCTGTCCCTCATTCTGTGCTCTTCCTTCTCTCTCTTTTTGCTCTGATTGCTTCAGAACTCATAGAACCTTTTTGTCTCCCAAAGCCCAGTTCTTGCTACAGGAAGCCCAGTTCTCTTTTCGGAACCAGCTGAACACATGTCACGACTTAGGCATTTGGCATCAGCATTATGCTTCTCTTGTCTTCCCTTAGCAGTTCCACCTCACCAAAGCACATGATTCACAGCCCTCAGGAAATGGCTCTGGGCACAGATACCAGTATCTGGATAATCTCTTAAAATTGTGTGTGTGTGTGTGTGTGTGTGTGTGTGTGTGTGTCATTGTTATAGAAGAATGGGCCAATGAAGAGGTATCTTTTCTGAACATTTTTTAAAGTTCTGAGCTCTCTACCTCAAAGGGTTATTATAGGCTGTTGTGATACACAACCAAAGAAGAAATTGCTAAGTACCCAGAACTCAATTCCCACGTAGGCTTTCTTCTTGTACAAACACCTGGCTTAAGAGGTGTTCCAAATACTGTAAAAATATAGGTATTTGGGGCAAGGAAGAAGAGTTTTCCTCCTGGTATGGGAAAGGGAAGAGGTTATATAAACTCCCTAGGTATCAGTTCCTGTACCACCAAATGCCTGTAGAAGTGAGAAGATATTCATGGATGACTCAGCATGTGAAGAGAACTGAACTTTGAGATCAAAGGCATTAAAGACCATCATAAGATGTCTCCATGCCCAAGCTTGCACAGAAGGGATAGTGCCACTGTCTTCCAACTGCAATGATGACTTGAGATTGCTTTAGACTCTCCAAATTCTTACCAGATCCTTAGTAGGAAATAGCCTCTCCAAACACAAAGCCAAGATAGAATTTCCTGCAAAAAATATTTGTAGGAAATCAAAGGGCGGTAGGGAGGACTCGTCCTATTAACTGATTTAGAATCTTTGAGGAAATGTGATATTTTAAAAGCCAGATGTATTATGAGATAAAATTTATACCTGCTACAACTAGAACATTATGCCAAGCACGATATTTGCTAATACACATCATCTAATGCAGAGCAACTTTTACAAGTTCCTACTCTAATATGGAGAGGATTTTTGTTTCTGTTATCAAACATGTTTAATTTGTATTTTGCGGTTCAAAAGTTTCAAATTAACAAAGACCAATTCTCTGTTATTCCATTCTTCTGAAATAGACATAATTTGAAAAAATGGCGGTCATAATAAGCAATGGCTTTGTCTTATCAACAGCTGGATATTCTCAAATCCAGCAGTTCAGGACTCACTTCGCATTTCCGTTAGAGGAATACACTGGACTCCTATTATCATTACATTTATTTTCCGAACTAGCCCCTCAGCCCACCCATGCCTGTCTGGAAACTGCTTACCCTGTCCATGTTTCCTGTGTGTGCAGCCAGCTGAATGGTGGACCTGTCCAGAGCTGACTGCATTAGGGGATGGCAGCTGATCCAACTGAACCCATCCATCCTCACCCCAGGAATTTTGAAATTTGGACAAGAAGAAAGAGATGGGACTCACTCTCTTTGTCGAGAGAAGCTGAAAATCCCAGCAATCCATAGCAGTAATTTCCACCTTCAATCGCCCATCGGGATTCCCAGAGGAGCTTTTAAAATATGCTTGTGCCCGGGCCCCACTTCAGAACCATTGAAATCAGAATTTCTGGGGCTGAGACTCAGACACTAATATGTTGCCCCAAACTTTTCATCTCGAATAATTTAATTACAACTGAAAAATGGAAAGAATAGAACAGTGAACACTTACATTTCCCTTCACCTAGATTGTGCTGTTAACATTAGGATAAACAGTCTTTTAAATTCCACAGATGATATTAATATACAAAACTGAGAAAAAAATCCCTAGGTGATATTAATATGTGATTGAGAACATCCCAACTGTAGAAAGAAGGACAGAGCAAAAGGAAGCAGATGCACCAAGAGGGGCAAAGATCATAAAGAGAGTCCTGAGGCCACTCAGACCCCTGTGTCTCAAACCCTGGGTTCTATGAGATCTCTGAGTATTACTAAAATAGAATCACCTTTGGGGCTTTGGCTAACGAGTTGTTCATTGCAGTCAAAATATTCAGGAATAATCGGCAGAAACAGTAGGTTCTATAGCGTCATCCCTAAATAAAAATAAAATCAGGGGTTTTACTGGCCTGAGAGATGGCTCTTATGTTAAAAGAAATATATAAAAATAACAAACTCAGAAGCCATCAATTCCCAAGATAATGGGACTGATAGACCATGTGCTAAACTATGGTTTTTTGGAAGTAGCCACTGTCTCCTGAGATAGACTGTTGCCCACTATTGAATTAAGTCAAATCTCACACACACACACCAGCAGTACCAAGTAGGGAAGGTGGCTGCGGGCCTGGTCTGCCCATATCACTGACCCATATCACTGACATGGGTTAGAATTACCAGAACATGCTGGTGATAAAGAAGACTGATTTTCAGTTGGTTCTATTATCTTTTAGACATACTTAAAAATACTATCCTCTATAGGAACTGCACCCTGTTAATGCTTGAACCCAGGGCACATGACTTCCACTGACAAACCCTGTGCTCTCTTCCCATGTCCAATTTTAGAAAGAGCAACCAGTTACCAGGCCTGGTAACTGAATCCCCTGATCTCGTTATCTGTGAAGAAGAGGTCTGATTTCTGTTTACACATTTCTATTCATTTTTCAAAAAAGACAATGATGTTGTAACTCTATATTATGCAAATATTGTTAGAACAGGATTGTGGCTACATTATTTTAGGATACCATCGCTAAGGACACAAAGTACAAGTCTTGCAGTCTTTTAAGGCTAACCACTTGCCCGGAAATATATTTGAAATTATGTATTTGAACTACGAATAAGTGGATTTTTCGAAACTATAGGTCTATGAATGAATTTTGAAAGAGGAAATGTAATAAACCAAAATGTGAGAAAAATTCAAGCCTCACTTTCATCTGTCAGTTCGCTTTAAGAGGCAAAAACACATTTTGTCAAATTTCAAAGGATAAACATTTTTAAGCAAAACTAAACTTTTAAAATTCACATTCAACAAATACTGACAAAGAATCAGAAAAAACAAATGAATGAAACATCAATTATACTATTTTAAAGAATAGTATAAAAAACAACGGAACTGTAGTTACATCCCCACAATACGAAGAATGACACAATGAAGACAAGCTTAAGAACCAAGAGAAATCTCCCGAAAGTCTACCTTCCTCTTGAGAAGGTCTCATCTGAGAAGAATGTGTAAGGCCAAGAGTTTTCATTGCCATAGGTTAGTCGTTGGTGCAAGATTTTTTGAGAAGGTATAAAAATATTCCTCAGTTTCAAGAAGGATTTGAGGCTAGTGATATCTTCATAATAAGCCAAAATTGTAGATAAAACATTACAAGGTCTGATGAGGGAAAATAATCATAAAAATGTTCATTAACTTCTGTATTTACACCTAGTAACTTGGAGATGATCAGAAAAAAAAATGTTATTTAGAGGTTCCCATTTCCTATATTCTGATCTTTGGATAAAATTAGTGGAGCACAGAATAACGGAGAAGAATAAATGAAAACAAAAATATTTTTATACAGACTTGTGCTCTTATTATATAAAGTGCCTCAAAGTTAACAAATTCCTTCTTATTCACTGTACATGTTCCCTTATTCACTGTATACATTCACTTATTCACTACATATGTTATTAATTAAACCCCGAATTACCAAAGCCTCATACATACAGAATCGTGAGTGGCTGGTCATCTCTGAAATTCCTCTCCAAAGAAAGTCATTGGAAGAAGGAGGACCTGGGACTACTCACTGTGGCTGACCAAAGACAAAGTCACCGGCAAATTTGCCCCACTCCCTGGCAGCTGGAGATATGGACATTACTGGCTCTCCTCTGTCATACCTTGCTACAAATCAGCAGGCTGGGCTCTTATACGAATGAGAGTCAAGTTAGCCCCGAACGGCAGCTCCCCAGGCTGGGCCCTGCGTTCCCACAGGCAGTCAGCCCCATGAGCAGGAGTGCTGCAGCCTGACAGACAAGTCCTGCATGGGAGTAGCTCCTGCAGTGGGAGGGGCACTGCACTGGAGAATGGATGAGTCACACTGGGTGACAGACACGGACTCTCACAAAAAGCAAAGGCTCCTGTCTTGGGCAAGGGATTCAAGACTGTGGTGGTAGCACAGGACATATGATACATGGCTGTAGCTCCTTTGTTCTTACAAATCAGCCTGAGCCTAAAGATGAAATTTGGAAACCACGAGTGCCTCTGCTTGGGGCTCTGGTACTGGCTGGCTGGCTTTCTGGTCACTAGGATTATGGTGGTATAGTTCCCTAATCATTCCTATCAGTCCCCAGTTGCAAGCAAAAGGTAGTATTGCGATTTCTCACCTCCTTGTGGTCAGTGGGGCATGCAAGTAATTCTGCATGGTGCCGGCAATTCAGAATAATAGTTACTCCATCAGACTGGGTTCCTGAGTGACCGTGATAAGAAGAGGTCCCTGCTAACACATGATGATCATAAGAAAGGATTACTTCTGGCCGGGCGCAGTGGCTCACGCCTGTAATCCCAGCACTTTGGGAGGCCGAGGCGGGTGGATCACGAGGTCAGGAGATTGAGACCATCCCTAGCTAACATGGTGAAATCCCGTCTCTACTAAATATATATATAACATATACATATATAATATACTATAAAAAATTAGTCGGGCATGGTGGCAGGCCGCTGTAGTCCCAGCTACTCTGGAGGCTGAAGCAGGAGTATGGTGTGAAGGGGTCGAACAATGGGGAGG